TATATTCGTGTGCATGTGTGTGTTTGTGTGCGTGGTATGAGTGGAAGCATGTGCCAAAGCACATGTGAGGAACACAAGTGACAAAGTGGCCAGACTCTTCATTTGGGAGTGTGTTCAAAGGGCACCGGGGAGGTGACAATCTCTGCATCACCTGCTCACTTCTACTGGGACTCTCAAACTGTTCTAAAAAAGTTAACCTATTTTTTAAGGTGTCCAGGAATATATATGTATATACACACACATACATACAATATAATAACATGTATGCATGTTACACATAGTTTTATATATAATAATATACATATATATGTATATATTTGCCAAAATGCAGGTAAGTATTGTGATTAGGTTGACCTGAGTTTTAAGAATCAAATTTTAAACCAAAAGTGGGGAAGGGATTCACCCATTCATTTAATAAATATTTATTAAGCTCCTACATCAAGCCAGGCCTTGTTCCCAGGACAGTAGATGGAGCCCAGGGCCTCGTGCACACTGCACAAGCTCTCTACCTCTGAACCAAATCTGTAGCCTCTTGTACTGTTTATTTAGAGACAAGAATTTCACTGAGTTGCCCCGGAAGTGTTTTGAAGCACATCATACATTGATACCTCATTTCTGAGACAGGGTCTCACTGTGTAGCTCTGGATGGTCTGGAACTCAAAGACGCCCCTGCCTCTGCCTCCCGAGTGCTGGGATTAAAATAAAAGTCCTGAGCGACCATGCTCAGCTCACACTGCTGCCTCTTAAAAAGCATACGCCACCATCAACATTGGTGGCGGCATCCATATACGTGATATGCCGGACTCTATCTTAAAAACATAGCTAGAAAAAATATACACATCATCTCTGCAGGTGGCTTCTTAGGATGCTAACCAGTGTGTGCTTTTCAGGTTTCTCCATTTTCCTTTATTTATACCTGGCTAATTCATTCCTCATGAGCATCCTGAGCAAAGATTAAAGAGGGCAGACAGGATACTAGGAGATGGCAAAATCTGGTCCTGTCCCTGAGTCAGCTGCAAACTTGGAGAAAAGACGAAAGCTGAATTTTCCAATTTTTTTTTTTATATATTTCACACTAACGAGAAAACTTAAAAAAAAAAATAGGTGAGCTGATGGCTTAGTAACCTGTCATTGCCTTCCAATAATCAGGAATAATAACGAAAAGTCACCCTAATGACCCTGACGTGATGAGTTCTTGTCACCTCACCAGTGACCACAATGTCAACAAGCTGGGGCTGGGAAGCTGGCTCACCTGTCACCATGAAGAACATGACCGCTGGTATCCACATAAAAATACCCTGGCTGGGCGGTCGTGGCGCACACCTTTAATCCATGCGCTCAGAAGGCAGAGCCAGGCAGATCTCTGTGAGTTCAAGGCGAGCATAGTCTACAGTGTAAGTTCCTGGACAGTCAGGGCTATTTTGAAAATCCCCCCAAAACAAACCAAACCAAACCTGCCATTTAAGGAGGCAGAGACAGGGGGATCTCTGTTAGTTTGAGGCCAGTTTGTCTACACAGTGAGCTCCATGTCAGCCAGGACTACCCAGTTAGACCCTGTCTCAAGCCAAACCAAACAAAAACCAAAACTAAATTAAGTAATTAACATTTAAAACTGACAATGTCTACTCTGTCTTGTCCTCTCCCCACGCCAGCACCAGGGGCAGAACTCAGGGCTTCTTCACGTGTGCTCTGTAATCCCTCTCCCACTGAGCCATGTCTCCACCCCTTTCTGTGCTCTGAAATTATTGACACAGATTCCCACTTTAAGTCGCCCAGGCAGGCCTTGAACTTTCAATCCTCTTGTCTCAGCCTCCCACTAGCTGGGATTACAGACCTGAACCAGCAGGCCTGGCTTTATTACATTCCTTTGATACAAAAATACAAGCCCTAAATACACATACATGAATCTAAGTTATAAACTATGAGTTTTGCATTAATTTTTATAACTTCCTGACATTTTATAGTTTTTCAAAGCTCACCTAGACTGCGAATGCTTTCTGCCATAAACAGTTTTTAGAAATGTTTTACTCCTTAACAAAGCAGGATGTGGCTTAAGTGTGGGCTTTTCATGTAGAATGAGTGTTCAGAGCCAGAAGCTTTTTAGGGCCTTGGAAGACTAAAGTCCCAAAACTGTATAGAATCTTAAGATCTATATATCAGTGAAGGTCCATGAGAGCTGCGGCCACCTGCCACCAATCCCTCATGGCCATCCAAAATGTGCCACTCCATCTAGAAGCATCATTCTGCCAAGTGAGGCTTTAGCACCCATCATTATCTCATTACACATGAGCCAGGTCCCAAAGCCATCATGTAAGGAAAGCCCTTAATCAGGGCCTCAGCCTGGCTGCCAGGCGCACTGTACATCGCCAAGCCGGTGACCACTAGACAAACAGACAGCTTCTTCAGCCCCAATTCCCTTCCTTCCTCTGGGCTGGCTTTCTTTCTTTCTTTCTTTCTTTCTTTCTTTCTTTCTTTCTTTCTTTCTTTCTTTCTTTCTTTCTTTCTTTCTTTCTTTCTTCCTTCCTTCCTTCCTTCCTTCCTTCCTTCCTTCCTTCCTTTCCTCCCTCCCTCCCTCCCTCCTTCCTTTTTCTTTTTTCCTTGAAAACTGCTAAAAAATAATAATAATAATAAAAATTAGGGGGTTGGAGAGATGGCTCAGCCGTTTAAGAGCACTGGCTGCTCTTCCAGAGGTCCTGACTGAGTTCAATTCCCAAAAACCACATGGTGACGCACAGCCATCTATAGTGGGATCTGATGACCTCTTCTGGCATAAAATCGTACATGCAGATAGCGCACTCATATACATAAAATAAATAAACAAATAATTTTAAAAAACTGCTAAAAAAAAGCTAACTGATAGTTGACATGTTGGCCTTAAGACACAGATTTTGCATCAATTTTTCATGATAGTGTCCTAACATGCTAACCCATTCCCTCCATTAAACTATAAGCTATCCAAAGGCAAAAGCCTGCACTCAGCATGCTTTAAAAACAAAACAGAAAACAAAACCACCTTTTTTTCATGGCCATAGACTTCGTATATAATATGACTGGCCAATTTGTTATTGGCTATAAGTAAACACATAAGTTTACCACGTAAAATCAATCCAAATATTTCCTATCTCTTTTATTAACAATATTTCTCAGGTGTTCTCTTTTTTCTCTGAGCCTCTGGTACTGGGTTTGACCCTGGAACCTCATGCACGCCAGGCAAGTGTTTTACCACAGTCACATCTCAGCAGGTCTTTGCTGTTTCAGACAGGGGCTTGCCATGTAGTCCCCAGCTGATCTGGGACTCACTGTGTCCTCCAGGCTGGACGCACACTCACAACAATCCTCCTGCCTCAGCCTCTCCAACCTTGGGATTACAGGGGTGAGCTGCCAGGGCTGCTCTTGTCTTTGACTTCCTGTCTTCCATTTTCAAAAGATAGGCAGGAAGCTCAGTCATGCTTCTTCCTCCAGCCACCTACCCTCTAGATCACCCTGCTAGAACATTCTCCAGCACGGCTATGAAATGTCTACTCTCTCAATCACTCAGGAACCATCCCGCTGTTTGAATAAGTGAGGGGGAGCACATGCCCAGACTTCAGTTCTGCTGCTGACCACCCGGACAACAAAAACAAAACAGAAAATCAACAACAACAAAAAAACCAAAACCAAAACAAACAAACAACAAAACCCAAAAACAAAACTGAGGGGAGTGAAAATAAGAAAAAACAGAGCACTCAGAGGCCCACCGTTTTGCCTAACCTAGGTTTGTACAAGCACTTCAAAATATGTGCTAATTTAATTTTTTCAAAGTGGGTATTTTGCACACGTCACCTGACATTTTGACAGCTGAATGAATGGGAATTCTTTTGACAGAGGATGTTTATAGAATGAGTTCTCCCGATTTAAGGGCCAGTACTCCCAGGATTCTAGTATTAACAGAATACTTTAGTCTAAGAAACGGTTATGTAAAAAACAATTAAAGCAAAAGAAAAAAATTAAGGAAGATGCCCTGCATTTCCCTAATTGCCCTAACCTTGTTTTATTTTGACATGACATTTCTTGGCCTCATCTTGGACGGCAACACCATCCCACACTTTCTCCTCCACACCCTTCACAAATGGAATTCAGAAAGGTAGTCAGCGGGCGCTTTGGAATCCATCACTGAGAATGACTGGTCATGGGCACATTTCGGCGCAATAACCGCGGTTTCGTCCCCACCTTCACCCAGGCCACTGCACTGCCAGCCTATGCCCAGCCTTTCCAGGTGCTGGAGTCCAGAGGAAGGCAGGGCAACAGGCCCTGTCCCTCGGCCAACAGCCTCTCTTTCCCAGAGATGGCCTGAGGGCTGCCCTGGCGTCCTCTGACCGCCCTCGGTGGGACCGTTTCCAGACGCCAAGCTGCTCGCTAACCCACCTGCACCCCAAAACGAAGGATCCTGCGAGGCTAACCCCTCTTAAAACCGTTTCCTCTGGGTAGCAGGACAGAAACAGGTTCCCGGCAACCGGCCCTTCATGGTATCCTATGATCTCCCCTACCGCTGTCCTCCTGCGGATCAAACGCCGCAGCCCCCCTCAAAATCAGGATCTGGGCTGTCCCCAAAGAATTACAAGTGTGCCCCAACGCTCCGGGTCTAAAGTCCTCACTTCCAGAGAGAAGACCTCACCCCTCGCTCGCGGCACCCCCAAACCCAAGACCCGAAACCCGGAGCCTGCCAGGCCGCCCCGCCCCCGGGAGCAGCGCGGGATCCGCCCGCACCCCAAAGCACAGATCTGCCCCAGAGCTCTGGCCAGGGGCGCGCGCAATTACGCAGCCCGGCACGGCGCGGGCCCCACGCCCCCCGGGGATTGCCCGCAGGTCGTCGCTCCGGGAGCTGGGACCGAGCCCTGCGCCACCCCAAGGCCGCCGGGGCCACCCGATCTACGTTCCCTCCTCGCTGGGCGACGACGCGCGCCGAGGCCCCTCGCCGCGCCTCCCGCCCAGGCCCGCCCGCGGCCCGGCCCCTCACTCACCCAAAGCTCGGTGCCCCAGCTCATGGTGCAGGGACCGGGAAGGGGCCCCCCTACCCCCTTCGCCGGCGATCGCTAAGCCCCTGCGGACACTGCGAATGCGGAAAGTCCGCCGCCCGCCGTTTCCTCCGGCCCGTGCCTCCTCTAGCCCTGGCTCTCCACCTCTCGTCTCTCCGCGCGGAGCAAAATGGCCCGAGGAAGCAGCAGCGACCGCCGCAGCGCGCCCGCCCCGCACCGGAGCCGAGGGGCGGGGTGGGGCGGGACGAAAGGCGGGGCGGGGAGGGGCCGGACTGACAGTTCGCGTGTACCGTCCCGCCCCCAGGCTCCCTTTGGCCGGGTTGCCCGGGGGTCCGGAAGGACGCGAGCCTCTCGGTACTTCTCCAAGTCGTCGGTTTTCGGCAGCCAGCGTGCCCTACGCTGTCGGGACCCGCGTTCACTGCCTGCAGACTGGCCGGCTCGGGATCACGACGCTCCATCGCGGTCTGCCCTCCACCTACCGCTCCCAGCACAGCTTTGAATTTCAGAACTTTTGCCCGGCGGCCACCGACGCTCACTTTAGAGGCTCCCGGAGCGGCTTCTCCCACCATCCAGCTACTGCGGAGGCCCAAGGAGCCCGTCAGCGTGCGTGGAAGTGGGGCCTGGAACCGTGACGTCGTGCACTGTGTACACAGGGACGTTGAGGCAAATAGAGACCGAGCAGATCCGGGAAACCAGGGAAGGAACTCGGGGATCAGCGCTCAAAGAGTTACAATCTGTGGAACAAGCCTTTTCCTAATTGTTCGTCCAGGAATCTCAGCAGTGAAGTTCTGTTACTCCGCTGAAGGACAGCAGACTCTCTAGGGCCCCCCTGAGAACTTGGAGGGTTCAAATCCAGCCTCCGACCTCATTGGTCTTGGATGGATCTCACCTCTATTAGGAGAGCCCCAGCTGCCAAAGGGAGGCAGTATCTGCCAGTCCTGCCCTAGTGATGTGAGCCAAGGAGGTAAACTGGCCAGTGGGTGGCTGGTACAGAATGGAGACCATCTCATTAACCCTTCCAAAGCGCCACAGGATGTCATTGCTCACGAGGCGTGAGGAATCTGGGGGCTTCCAACTGTTTGCACGACTTTTCTTTCTCTGAATGCTACTGCTGAGACCTTTCCTCCAGAGCCATGGCCTCAGGAACAGGTCCCTCCTCCTCCTCCTCCTCCTCCTCCTCCTCTTCTTCTAAATAATTTATTTATTCTTACTTTATGTACATTGGTGTTTTAACTACATATATGTCTGGGGGGGTGTCAGATCTTGGAGTTACAGACAGTTGTTAGTTGCCATGTGGGTGCTGGGAATTGAACACAGGCCCTCTGAAGAAGCACTCAGTGCTCCCAACCACTGAGCCATCTCTCCAGCCCCACAGGTCCCTCTTCTAAATGGTTTCTCCACTTCCTGCTCTCTTTGACCTCTTCATCTTCCTTCAAGGGGTTAATTCTTCTCGAAGGGTGAATCTCAGCCCAGTGTGTGGTGGCCTATACTTGTAGTCTCAACACTCCTGAGAAGGGACAGGAAGAGGCTAACCTGAGCCACATAGTAAGTACCAAGCAGGCTAACCTGGACATCAAAGTGAAACCTTGACTAAAATAAAATAAAAAGAGTGTGGTGTGAGGCAGAGGCAGTTGGATCTTTTCTATGAGTTAAAGACCTGGGTTACATAGTGAGTTCCAGGCCAAGGCCTACAATAGTGAGACTCTGTCTAAAACAAAAAACAAAAAACAAAAAAAACAAACAAAAACAAACACAAAATAATAATAATTTGTTTAAAAAGTAAAAGGAAAGAAAGAAAAAGGAAGGAGAGGTGGAGCTGAGAACCTTGCCTCAAACCTCAGGACCTCCTACTTCCTTTGCTGGGTAGTTACATCTAAACTATCAAAACTGTTTCAGGCTCTTTTGTCGGTTACAAGCTCTCCCCCATCCTTTGTGTCTGTTTAAATATTTTGTTTCCACATTTCCCAGGTCTGAGCGCTCTTTACTCCCTAGACTGCCAGATATGTGAGAGTCAGGATGGCCAGTCGGCCACCTCCCTGCCAAGGCAGATTAATGGCCAGGGTGCGTTGTAGGGCTTGGCAATGTAAACAATGTTAATTAACAATGCCACAGTGGTGTTTTTTGGTTAGGTTTCTTTTTTAACGTGTGCATGTCGATCAGTGCACCACCCTGGCGTTTGGTGCCCTTGGAGGCCAGCGAGGGTGCTGAGAAGCAAACCTGTGCTCTTAGCCACACCGAGCTGTCTGCCCAGCCCCAACAATGCCACGGGTTGTGTTTGCTCCAAGCTGGAAATGGCCAGTTACTTAGCAAGACCCTGCCTGTGTTGTGGTGGACTTGCAAAAAATAGGCTAGCCAGGAGGTAGAGCAACCTGTGCCCTAAAGAGAAAGGAGCGGAAGGAACTGCAGAGGGAGAGATGCCTGAAGACGGAACTTGTTATGTGAGTAAGCAGAAACTGTTATGGGACCTGTGAAAGCCACAGGAGGTGCAGGAGCCAAGTTAACTGGGTACACTTGAAGTATCTTTCACTTTTTAAGTCTGGACAGCAACTGGAAAGTGCTTTGAGTCAAAAGCTTCAGAATAGGGAAGAGAAATGCAGCATTGATCTTTTAACAGGGGTGTTCACCCTATGCAAATGCTGGGCTCACCACAGCCGCACACCTGCTCCACCTTGATTCACAAAGTTGTGGTCTTTGCCTTTGACTAATCTGATGGCCCAGAAGGGGTCAACCCTAAGGAAGGCATCTGAACACACACAACACAGACCCTACTTGCACAGGCTTCGGTCTGCTTGGTTTGCTTTGTTTTTAAATGTTATTATATTTCCTGTTCACTTAGCATGTGTGTGGGGGCTTGCACATAGAGCACACGTGTAGAGGTCAGAGAACAACTTGTGGGGGGTGGGTTTCTCCTTCTACCATGTGGTTCCCAGGGATTGATTTTAGGTCATCAGGCTTGGTGGCAGGTGCCTTTACTGGCTGAGCCATCTTCTGAGCTCTTATTTTCTGAGACAAGATTTTACTCTGTAGCCCAGGCTGGCCCAGAACTTCGGTAGGTGATCCTCCTACTTCCATAGATACTTCTGAGCAGTCAGAGGCAAATCTAGCAGAGATTTGGACAGTCCTAACCCTGTATGGAATTAATGAGCATCTCACTCAAGGTTTATAGGTACCTGTTCAGTGGCAGGTGTGTGTGTGTGTGTGTGTGTGTGTGTGTGTGTGTGTGTGTGTATTCTGAAGCAGGTGGGGATCCCACTGTCCCGTCCTTACTAGTTGGGTGCCTTCTGACCACTTACACCATCCGAGCTTCACAGACTCCCAGGAGGCTGAAGTACTGGACAAGCACACGCTTTAGTGTGGTTCAGACATGCAGAGCTCGGGAGGGGCAGCTGAAGAGCGTCCCTTCCCCAAACCTCAGTTTCCTCTCCAATGACCTCATGGCCTCTTCAAATACTAAAAGAAGATATCTGCCAAGTGCTTAGCAAAGAGAGCACAAATATGAGTTTCCTTTTTTCTCCTCCTGTGTGCCACAGCAAGGAAGCAATGTCTTACACACTGCTGCTATTGCTAGATCCTTAGGCCTGAACAGCAGGCCAAGATGACTGGTTGTCTATCACGAGAGTTTCCTAATGACATCCCTGCACCCCCACCCCCACCCCCACCCCCGCCACAATGGTTTCTATTTGAGTTTAGCTTAATTCACAGTGGAGTTAAGTCTCAATAAACTCCACAAACTTATATATTTTGTGATCTCTGGCTGGCTGGAACTCACAGATCTGCCTGCCTCTGCCTCCTGAGTGCTTAGAGGGGTATGCCATCAAGCCTGGCTTACTGTTTGTTTTTATTAAGACAGGGTCTTATGTAGTCTAGGTGGATCTCAAACTCACTATGTAGCCAAGGCTGGCTTTGAAATGACCTGAGTACAAAGAATACATTTAGTATTCCAAGATCCCACAACAATGTTTGTTGAGCCATGGTAAATTGAGAACTGGCTGTACATACTCAGGACCCCAGGAAGCAGCGAAAAGGAAGAACTAGGAACTTTCTAGCGAGTGCAATCCTAAAACTGCAAGTAGATTTTAATACCCTGCGGCTGAGTTCTCTGAAGGTCTGTAAAGACTCCATAAGTCATAAAACACGGGCTGCCTGGAGCTGGGCAGGTTGTAGACAGTGTCCCCAGGTTGACAAGTGGTTCTCAGATTTATTTCCATCACAACCTTCAGCCCTCAGAAGGTATGTGGGCGCCACTGGAACGACATCTTCCCAGTTTCCAAAAACATGCTCTCCAGGGTTTCCTCTCTGTGTCTGAAGAGATGCCTGAGATTCTCCACTGCAATCTGGAAGACCTGGCCAATGGTGTCACCAGGCCCTGAGAAGCCTCTGGTTCCTTATGGCGTTAGCTTTGGGGTCTAAGAATTCTTCTGAAAAGACAGACAGACCGTGGGACAGTTCAGCAGTAAAAGAGCTGCTGTCAAACCTGTCGACTTGAGTTCTATCCCGGTGACTATGGTGGAAAGTGGGAACAGACTTTTGAACATCACCCTCTGACCTCCACACATTCTCCATGGCATGTGCCCCTCCCGCAATACACACATAAATAAATGTAATACAAACTTTGGTAAAAGGAAAACCAAATGCAGTTATGTCTTATTTTCTCCAACAGTCCAAGCCTGGGGTAAATATTATCAATAGCATTGTATTCGAACTACAAGTTTGAACTCAAACCCGAGTTTCCTGCCAGTGGCAACCTTGAACTGATCCTGCAAACTGTAAAGGCTCCTGATTAAGATAGCAAGGCTCAGAGCCAGGGTTAGGAGCTCTGCCCTTCCTAACCTCAGGCTTTTCCAGTCAGTGCCTTGGTTTAATGCCCCCTGGAAATTGCTGCCATGGGAGAAACAGGCACAACTTGTTTTATTACTCAACAAGATAGGCTGGGTGCAGCGTCCTGGTTACACAAATGTCCTTTGCTGGAACCTAGGCAGTCATGTGTTATACCTTTCCGGGACCCAGTGTTGCTAGAACATTCCACACTGACTTCTTGTAATAGGTTTTCAAAGACTTTGTCAGGGGCTTTTCATGCTCCTTCCTCTGGATTTCAAAATAACCACTGGAGTCCACCGAGTTCCCAAACACACAGAGACAGACATTCTCACAAACTGACCACATCTGATTGGTGTGGTCCTGTGGAGGGGTTGTCATAATTTCCAGGTTTAAAAATGAAGGAATCCTAAAGATTTAAGGTCTGGCTACAGTTTTACCACAACAAAGCAAAATTCTTCTTTGGAATAGATATTTTACCACCACTAAGAGGAAATGAGGATACCTGGACATTCTGTTTTTAATATTAGTCAAATTTAAAGACATACCTTCTAAAAAGTGGTATTGAACTTTATTATTTATTGGTCTTTATTATTTTTACTTATGTGTGTATATGTGTATGTGTGTGGCAGGGGCAGGGTGTCCATGGAGGCCAGAAGAAGACATTGGATCCTCTGGAGCTGGAGTGACAGGTGGTTGTGAGCTTCCTGATGTGGGTGCTGGGAACTGAACTTGGTTACTCTGGATAAGCAGCAAGTGCCCTTAACCACTGAGTCATTTCTCCAGCCCCACCTTATTATTATTTTGAGACAGGGTCTCACTACGCAGCTCTGACAGTCCTGGAACTCACTATGTAGACCAGGCTGGCTTCAAACCCACAGAGATCCATTTGCCTCTGCCTGCCAAGTGCTAAGATTAGAGGCATGTGCCATCATGGCTGACTTTTATTATTGTTATATTTATGTGTATGTCTGCATGTGTGTGTGTGCCAGGTGCCCATGGAGGCCAGAAGAGGTTATAAGTGGTTGTTAGTCACCATGTGGGTTCTAGGAAATGACTCCAGTCCTCTACAAAATCACTAAGTGCTCTGAAGTGCTGAGCTATCTCTCTAGTCCAGGATATTATTATCAACTGGGCACTGGACTTTAAAAAGTGAAAAACAGGATGGGAATATAGCTCAGGAAATGAAGACCTGTCTAGTATGCATGAAGCCTCAGCACTACAACATCAAAAAGGAAAAACTCACTGAAAAATTCATGTGGTTACTTAACATTTTAAAGTAAAATTCACTTAAGTAGAAACGGCTCAATAATTAAGAGCATAAACTGCCTTTCCAGATGACCCAGTTCCAATTCCCAGCACCCATACGGTGGCCAACAACCATCTGTAACTCCAGATTCAGAGGATCTGATGCTATCTTTTGGCCTCTGCAGGCTCCTGCATGCATATGGCATGTATACATAAACACTCAGGCACACACACACACATATACATAAATAAATATTTAAAATTTTTTCCTTAACTGTCTTTGGCCTTTCTTCTTGCTTCCCTAAACAAAGTATTAGATTTTTCACATTCTTACTCTTTTTCATGTTTTGAATGTTCCGGTGGGGGGGACTGAACCCAAGACCTCATTCACACACTTGCTAGGCTGCTAAAGTACATCCCTAGCACGTGACTTCTACCTCAGACTTCTGTCCTGGGGTCACAGCTATGTTACCACACCAGCTTGTTACCCTTTTTAAAATACGAAGTTACAAAACTCAGAAAGCTGAGGCTGGAGAGGCAGGTCAGTAGTTAAGGGCATGGACTGCTCTTATGGAGGACCTGAATTTGGTTCCCAACACCCATCTCATGGGGCTCATTTCCACTTTCCAGCTCCAGGGGTTCTAGAACCCTCTTTGGCCTCAAGGAAACCTGCAATCACTTGCACTCCCCCACTCACACACATACACAAAATAAAAATGGAATAATAACTCTTTTTTTTTTTTTTAAATTACAAAGCCGTTCATAATATTGGGCAAGAGGCCCAGATCTACTTCTGTAGCAACTGAAGTTTCAGTCCTGGTTTTACAGATGCCCGCTAAAGCTACCCAAAAGGCTGTGTGATCTTTGGAAAGTCACACAATGTTCTCTGGCACTGATTTTATACCTGTTAAATAAAGTGGGCAAATCTGGGTTACCTCCAGAGCCTTCCAGCCTAACACAGCATGCAACGGCCTTTCTACAGCACGGCAGGATGAGGGTTTTGCATGAGTGTGCTGGCGGGTCATTATACAGGATCAGACTGCCTCTGAATTAGTTAATCCAACCAAACTTCGTCTGAAAAAAGAAAATACACACCTTGTAAGACTTTCCTGATTTTAGATGGCATAAGATACATATAGATCACATAACCAATTAAGTTCACTTAGAAAACAATTTCTCATCTCTCCGCATAGAGCTGCAAAGATTAATTCTAGAGTTTCCTGCTGGAGGTTCCATTATCTGTCAAGGGGGTGGGATTAGATGAAAATCCTGTTCAAACAAGGAAGACTGCATATTCAAAAGAGATGGCCCCAGACCCAAGGGAAGGGAATAAAGGGCAGCCACCAGCCAGTAGTCACTGCCTTTCCCTCCCATGAAACTTAAAGGTATTTTAAGATAAACTGCAACCTGTGCCTCCACCTACATGTTCTACTTTCGCCTTTGAAGAGGGTGCGGCTGAGCTTGCACTGGATTTTAGTCAGGGGAAGGGTTAGGAGATTTGTCAGTTTTGAAGATTGTGCACACACAGAGGAAACTGAGACCTTCTGGAGCCCCGGCTCACTTCAGTTCTGTGCTTCTGTATTTTCCCAAGTGGTTTGTGATTTTTTTTTTATTAGATAGGGTAGCCCCAACCAACCAAGGGAATTTTTTCTTCCTTTCTTTTCTTTTTCTTTTTTTAAGATAGGGTTTCGCTGCATATTCCTGGCTGGCCTTGAACTCAGAGATTTACCTGCGGATCAAAGGTGTGGGCCACCACTGCCAGCTCCAAGTGAAATTTTTTTTTTCCCCAAGATAGGGTTTCTCTGTGTAACAGCCCTGGTTATCCTGGGACTCGCTCTGTAGACCAGGCTGGCCTCGAACTCACAGAGTTCTACTTGCCTCTGCCTCCTGAGTGCTGGGATTAAAGGTGTGCGCCACCACTGCCTGGCTCCAAGTGAATTTTTTCAGTTGACTGTTTTGTGTTCAGCTGTTGTTGTACTTCCAGAGGGCTGGAGATTGGGTTCCTAGCAAACATACTGTAACTCACACTGTGAGCACACTGTAGCTCCCAGCTACCTGTAACTTCAGCTCCGGGGAATCTGATGCTCTCTTCTAGTCTCTTCTGCACATATACACAGACACATAAATAAAAATAAACTAAATTATCTATCTACCTATATGTAATTACATCTATAAATATATCATGTTGCGTTGGAGACATTGCTCTGTGGTTAAGAGCACTTACTGCTCTTCCAGAGGACCTGAGTTCAGTTTCCAGCACCCATGATGTCAGGCAACTCACAATTGCATATTAACTTCAGCTCCAGAGGACCTGACACTATCTTCTGGTCCTCTCAGGTACCTGTATGTGATACACACACACACACACACACACACACACACACACACACACAAATTACAAACAAACAAAACTTATGTTAAAAGTTTTAGGAATCTGATTCTGTCACAGGAGTCAACACACCTATACATTGGTGGTTGCCTAGCAGTGGGATTCCTAGTGGTTTTTATTGTGTCCTGTTCTGTTTAAATGATTACACACACAGACACACCACACAAGCGCACTTGCATACATTACTTGTGTGTCCAGTTAAAACAAGAATCTAACGCCTGGCAGTGGTGGCTCACACCTTCAATCCCAGCACTCAGGAGGCAGAGGCAGGTGGATCACTGTGAGTTTGAGGCCAGTCAGGTCTACAAAGTGAGTTCCAGGACAAGAGCTGTTACACAGAGACACCTTGTTTCAAAAAACTAAACTAAAAGAATTTAAAAACTAAACAAACTTGACTATCAGCAATTTTTTTTTTTTTTTTTTTGGTTTTTCGAGACAGGGTTTCTCTGTGTAGTTTTGCGCCTTTCCTGGAGCTCACTTGGTAGCCCAGGCTGGCCTCGA